AAAGGGGGGGATCGCTGAGGTGCGGGGAGGGAGCGCTGACACGCGGTGGAGGCACCGCCGGCCGTGCCTGCCCGGGCTGCAGGAACGTGAGGTCTGTCGCCGTCTTCGCTGTATGTTGTTTTATTTTATTGCCCGGAGCTGGGCGGGCGAGGGGGGGGAACCGGTTTAAAACTCATTTGCAGGGGAGTGGAGGTGGTTTGTCCAACCGTGCGGCTCTCGGCCCGGTCTGCAGCTGGGCTTGTCAGTCTGCGTGCCGCCGTGGTGTTGCGCTTTCCCCCCAGAGATGGCACTGGCTGTCTTTCGCATTTTCTTGGGATATTATTTTTCATCCCCCGGGGAGCCCAGCTCCTGACTGGTACAGCTGTAAATCTTTCGCTTTTCACATTCATTCACCCTTGCTCTGTTGTGGATTTGCATTCAGTGCTTGGGAAGAAGGCAGCTCGTTATGTGGGCTGAATTGGAAGTGAACGTGTTTGGGTTTTTTTTTTTCCCTCTTAATCTGGTGACCCTAAATAAAGCCCACACAGGTGACATTAAACGTAAAATGAAATCTTTGACTGCTGGATCGGCACAAAGACTTTGTGTCCTGGCAGAAGCTGTCGCTTACCGTTTATGAGCGGTCAGAGCGATAAAGATGCTGACTACCTGTTAGAAGAAACCTTTCCTGCTCCTCTCCATCCCTGTGCTTCCACACCACCGGCCCTTTTTCTCTCGAGTGGAGAACAGCTCCGTGCCAGCTGTGGTCTGGGTAGGCAAGACAGACTCTTTCTCATTATTATTGGATGAGTTTTGGAACCGCTCGGTAGCACTTATCGTTCTCCTTTTTCAGGTAAACATGTGTGACATCTTGGGGGGAATGAAAACGGACTTTTCTCCCAGCTGTCAGTAAAGGAAAGCCTTTTATTTTCTTAGTTCTCTGTACAAACGTGGCATTTAGATACTCGTCTGAATTTTTATATAGGTACGGAACTGTCACTGTGGTTTCCTCAATCAGCGTTGCAATCTTTGTGTCGATAGCGAGGCAGAATGAAAAGGAATGAAAATGCCTAACGTTTATTTAAATGGTAGACTAGAAGATGGTGTATTTATTTGAGGAACTTTTAATCTATTTTTCTTGTGAAAATGGATTTTTTTTTTTCTTTGATTGTGTTTTAAGGTTGAGTTGGTTAGTTTTTTTTTGTCATTTACTCTTAACATTATTATGAATCTGTAGGTACTTTTTATTCAACACCTAGTTCATCTCAGCCTTTTCTACCTCTTTCTCTTTCACACCCTGGCCTGTGGTCAGAAAATACTTGAAAATGGGCTGTTTGCAGCCTTGCTTTAATTTTATAAGGAGCATATTAGATTTGTATGGGAGTTGCTTTGTTATAGAAAATGTCTTGGCTGCTTGACAGCACTTAGTTTGAGACTCTGTAACGCACATACGTCACTTTGAAAAGGAGCCTTTCCACATGTCCTGGGAAGCAAATCTGTTAAGCTTTGTGATGCTGCACACTCAGACAGAAGAGTGAGAATGTGCATGTTCTTTATTCTGCCATACAGAACATGAACCTGGCAGTGTTCTTGCCTGTTTCCAACTTAGTTTTGGGGACATTCAGGATTGCTATTGCGAGTTAGACAGACGTTGAGTTCAGTAACAAGTGAGAAGCACCTTCCATGGCTTGCCAAGTAAGCGTACAGGTTAGTACTGAATTTTTTATTTTTGTTTTATAGGGCATGGGGTCTCCTTTGCATTCCTCATCTATGATGCCATACCCAGACTCTCCCTATTTCTGGACTTTGGCCAGATCCTCAGCGTTGTTGTAATCCCCTGCTGAAAGAGATCAGTACCAGGTGGCTAGGGCGATTTGTGGTTTGCCGTATCGCTTGTTTTCAAAGAGTACCCCGTCCTTTATTCCTCTTTTGCCCTTGATCTCGCGTATGCGTGCATGTATGTACACACGCAGTGTTTATTTATGCCTTCTGTCTGCTTCTCCTTTTAGGATTTCAGATGCATGCCAGGTTCCCACTGAATGCCAGAAGTAGACATCACTACAGATGGAGCCCCAAAGTCAACATGGCAGCGGTGGCTCGCTAGTGGTGATTCAGCAGCCCTCCTTGGACAGCCGGCAGCGGTTGGACTACGAAAGGGAGAGCCAGCCGACAACCATCCTGTCGCTCGACCAGATCAAGGCCATCCGGGGCAGCAACGAATACACCGAAGGCCCGTCCGTGGTGAGGAAACCCGGACCGCGGGCAGCGCCGAGGCAGGAGAAGCACGAAAGGACTCACGAAATCGTACCGATCAATGTGAATAACAACTACGAGCACAGAGTGGGCCACAGCGGGCAGGCGGCCCACCAGCACAGCGCGAGGGCTCCCGTCCTGAGCCGCTCGACCAGCACGGGCAGCGCGGCCAGCTCGGGCAGCGGCAGCAGCGCCTCCTCGGAGCAGGGTCTGCTGGGTCGCTCGCCACCGTGCCGGCCGGGCTCCGGCCACAAGCCCGACCGGACAATCCGGACGCAGCCCAAGCAGTCGTCCCTGGTCGTCGACGACCTGAAGGGCCCTTTGAAAGAGGACCCGACGCAGCACAAGTTCATCTGCGAGGAGTGCGGGAAGTGCAAGTGTGGGGAGTGCACGGCGCCCCGTGCCCTGCCCTCCTGCCTGGCATGCAACCGGCAGTGCCTGTGCTCTGCCGAGAGCATGGTGGAGTACGGCACCTGCATGTGCTTGGTCAAAGGCATCTTCTACCACTGCTCCAACGACGACGAGGGAGACTCCTACGCGGATAATCCCTGCTCGTGTTCCCAGTCGCACTGCTGTTCTAGGTACCTGTGCATGGGCGCCATGGCCGTGTTTCTGCCGTGCTTGCTCTGCTACCCTCCTGCGAAAGGATGCCTCAAGCTCTGCCGGGGCTGCTACGACCGCGTCAACCGTCCGGGTTGCCGATGCAAGAACTCCAACACAGTCTATTGTAAACTGGAGAGCTGCCCCTCCCGGGGTCAGGGCAAGCCCTCATGATTTCTGGAGGGAGGTTGGCTTCCTCCAACTTCAGTTTTTCAGGTTGTAGCTGTTTTTGGTTTTGTTTTTGTTTTTTCTCTTTTCCTCCTCCCTCCCCTTTTTGGGGGGCCCGTTCTTTTGCTTTCCTGTCTCCCCAACTTCAAATACACCAGTTCTTCCCTTGGCATCTTTGCTCTCCTCTTCCTATTGACTTGGCTGAGTGTGGAGCGTTTTACGTAGTCATTGCTGCTCTTTGGTAAGTGTGGACCTGGTATCCGCCACTGCCGCTCGCTGTGGCAGGCTCTGTGGAGTTTGTAACTGAACCACTCCTGAAAGAGACAGTGAGGGCTCACTGGGCTCTGGAAGCTTCTTGCTCTGTGAATATCTTCCCAAAGATGTTTTTCGTTCTCAGCAATTTTTTTTTTTTTCCCCTCAAACTCCTGGGTACCAAGGAAGAATAACTTTTGAGTGAGCTGGATTGTGAAATAACTTTTTGCGTGTGTTCTTTCTGGAGAGGGGTGTAAAATAAAGGCTGTACCAAATGAAAGGCCTGACTCTTCCATAAGCAGCCTGCTTTTTTTTGCCTTATCCCCCCACCCCCCCTTTTTTTTTTTGTCTTAACTTTGGGAACATTCTCAGTCCTGAGAATTACCCGAATTACCCTGCCTCCTTTTTTTTTTTTTTTTCTTTTTTACATTTTCAGTGTAACTTCAGTTTTTGCTACACCATGTAGATCTTCACATTGGAGACATTATGGCTGCAACACACTCGTCTGTTTCTTTTGCTGTCAAATCTTTGAAGGATATTGCTCGCTCCACTCTCTTACTCCTGTTTTTATAGTCTGTCAGTATCAGTGGATGTTAAAGTTGGTGTTCATATATCCAAACAGCCTTCAGGTGTCATTGAGGCACCTAAACGTTCTTGAATCCTTAAAGTTTCTTGTGATCCCTTGGTTTAGTGAATTTAGCTCTGCTCTGTACTTTATAATTTTATTCTGTCCCTGTTTTATTGCCTTAGCCACAAATTGTGGTCCTTTTTTGTATATTTTATGTATAAAACACAAAGTTGAATCCCAACTATTTTTAAGACAAAAGTCTGTTAAAACTTTTTTTATTGTAAAGAATATTTATTATGTGAATCTCTATTATTTTATGATATTTATTGCAAAAGACTTTGAAAATGTACTCATGTCCGAATATAACAAAATATCAATACTTAACGAAATAAGGATGACACGAAGAAAGTACATATGTTAACTATAATGCAGAAAATATATTAATTAATGAAAACGGCTCTTGAGTTCTTTTGTTACGATGGCAGCTTGTGAGCTACGTGTACGTATTGCTGAGTTGTCGGGGTTTCTCCTCTCTGTGGTCTGTCAGGTAGCAAATAACTTACTATGGATACTTCAAAACCACTAGTCTGTGCTCTAGTTTAGTTTACCTAATTTTAACTTTGCTAACTATATATCAAGTAAGTTTTTGCTATGGGATATTTAATACAATTGAATGTATACGTTGTGCTTAACAGTGCCAAGAAGAGTAGGCCCTATTTATTTACCGGAGCATTTGGAAATACAGTTCTGGAGGAGGAGACCATAACTTTGAGGGTTTTTTTGTTTCCTAAAGAGTACCAAATTAACATGTAAAGCTATTTTAAATTTCCCGATACAGAACTTCTTGGCTGGCTAAATTGTACGTCAACTGGAGTAATGAATCTACCAAGCTCAAATCTAAATAAAAATCAAGAGGCAGGATGAAAAATAACGGTTGTGTTGCTGTAGTTTGCTAGCTTTGAAATTTGGGGGTGGATGTGTTTTGTGCCTGTGTCTTCGGCTGGTTTGTCTTTTTTCCCATACGTCTTCCCAATGTCAACTGAATCTATGTTGTGTCTTTAAATCGAAGGCTCTTAAGGGTGACCCAAGTGTCACAGCTGCTTGTGGCCATTTAACACATATTCAACAAAAAAGCTTTTCATTAAGAGCGAATGGGGAAGCCTCCTTCTTCTGTTCCTGTGGGTCAAGGCTAACATCACAATTCTTCCGAAGTGAAAAGTTTATCAAATGGATGTAATTTCACATGGTATTCAGAGTAAGTGGTTCTAGAGAAACTCCACTTTAAGAACACAGTAATAACTTGACAAATGTGTTATAACTTGCGTTTTGAAGCCCTGCTGCTTTGGATTGCCATATTCAAGCTGTCCTGACTCCCAGTATGTTGATGATTTGAACAAGCTGGGCTTTTGTAGTTAACTCCGTCAAAGCTGATCCAGTGTCATATAATGAGCTGACTGGAAGGTTGCGTTCTTTACTACATGGCATTTGTGACTTCTGTGAGGCATAAAGTGAAATCATCACCTGGGTACATGTAGGAAACCACTTGCCTTGCAGAGTACAGTTGGTAATGTGCTCTCCCAGCCTCAGTGTGACAAAATTGACAGGCTGGGAGGCTTGTGGGGCGGCAGTGTGTATATCCAAAGTCTGCTTTCCAAGATTTATTTGTCCTGAGATGAAGCAAAGCCAAGAGAAGATATTTTTCTGAGGAGCAGGCGACTTGCTTTGCACTACTTTCCTATCACTGATACTTCTCTAACAGTGACAGCTGCAAACAGCCCTTGGGAGACAATGAAATCCTTGTCAAACAGTCACCGGTGGTCAGATATGACCATTTTTAAGGCTCTGTACTGACACTCAGAAATACTGAGCCAACTGCCTTTTCATAACTGGATACAATCCAGCTCTGTGTTGAGTAAGTTTGCTCAAAGGGTGTTAGTTATTCCTCTTGAAGAAAAAATTTGTATAGCTTACCTCTGTCTCTCTTTTTTTCAGCCAGGTGACTTACGTGGGGGTTTGGTTTGATTTGATTTGGTTCCTAGTGGAAGAGAAGGTGGCCCAAAGGACCCACATGTATTCTGTCTTCTAATGATGATCTTCCGTCACGAGCTGTCTCACAGCACTGTTTCAGATTTCTTTAAAAAAAGTCAACAAAACCCACGCTCCTTACCTTATGAAAATGGCTGTGACTTCTTTCAGGCAGACACATGTTGAGATGTAGAACTGCCACGCAGGATTGCAGGAGGGCAATGGAGTGTCTTCTACTGGAAAAATACTGAGCAAGCTGACAGATGTATGAAGTAAGCCTCCACAGCTTGAGGAGACAAAAGTTATCTTATGTATAGGTGCTAAGTGGTCAGTCGTTAAGTCTGTTCTACTTTCTACCATATAGCAACTGGAATGACCATCTAGAGATACTGAGATACTGTATTTTGTTGTAAGGGGGTTTGCTAAACGCTAATGAGATTTCTGTCAATAAGGAGACTGAAGTGTAGATTTCAGTTCACCAACCCAAAATTTATCAGTGGGCCGCTGAGGTTACTTTCTACGTGTCTGTAGAGTGCCAGGCTGTCAGAGGTCCGTCGCAACGTAGATCATAAGAATTATTTCTTAACCGTTTTCAGATAGCCTTGAGGTCTTATTTTGAAAAATAAAAGAGAACTCAGTATAAAATGATCAAGTAATTAGGCAGTAAGTTCCGCTGACCTACTAACCTAATTGTGTAGGTTGGTGATGGATTCGAACGAGCCTGCCATCTGGTTGTACACAGCAGAGTCCTGAAATGCGTCCCGTAAGGTCTGGGATGAAGGAATTCCCTCCAGCAAGCCAGAATTCAAGTCTTGGTTTGCTTAGCATCTTGAAATTTGTGGTAAGAGGTGAGTTTTGGAAACATGGTGAATAAGTTTCCATGTTCCATGCTGCAGGAACATGTAGAGTATTGGATAGAATTTGAGTGTTTCTCTAAAGATGGCTTCATTACTCTAATGCTAGTGGGGATCATGCTTAAGAAATGAGAAGTACTTGCTCTTGTTTCTGGTTCCATATCATAAAGACAGGTGGGAGAGGATTAGCCCCTCTGTCTGTGATAAAGCAAATCTGTTAAGAGGGATTAAAAGGGCTAGATGAAGTGCTTTAATGGACTTATACAAAGTAATAGATTTTTGTCCTGGAGGAATGTTCAGGACTCACTGATACTTCTGTTTTTCTTGTTCTGCTAAAATTACCTCCAAATTCTAAGGAATCCTGATTAATTGTTGGCTTCCTTCCAGCTGGAGCATTTGTGTCAGTCACGGTGGTGCTTCAAAAAACCTGGAATAAAATTTGGTACTGCTATCGCACAGCTGGATTTCCCAGCCTTACACAGCGCATGGGTCGCCCAGGTCTTGTTCTGATTAGCTTTGGTCAGCGGGCAAGATGCGCTTAGGGCAGCTCTTAATCATTTGTATTTCCTCGCTGTGGTCGTTTCTCACCTTCCTTTTGCTGATGGGAGTAGCCAAGGCATGGCTTCTGCCCTTGCCCTTAGGCACCCAGCCACACAGGGCCTGGCTTAACAGCTTTATACTTACTGGAAAGATCTATTAAAAACCTTTTCAAGCTACCCAGAAAGTTTCCTTCAGCATGTTTTGCTTCCACATTAGAGCACGGACTTGGGCTGTCACTGGTACGCAGGACTGATGCCCCACTGTCCTGCTGGAGGGATAAGGATGGTCTGCGAGCTGAGCAGCAAGCACAGCCCGTGGATCAGCTTTCTGCTGCCGTCTCAGCCTTTAAAAATCCCAGCTCAGGGTTGTTGAGGCTCTTTGTGCACCCTTGGGCTGTGAATACTCACTTGCTGCAAGTGGAGAGCTCTTGCAGTGCACATCCCATGCCCTCGCCAGATGTTTGCAGGAGGCACAGGTCCCTGCAGGCGTTGCCGTGACCATCCACCTTTTCAGCTGCTTTTTCTGTCCTCTGTATATATGTGTGTGTGTGTGCTTTGAAAGGAGCTTTGGTTCCTGCGTACGCAGGTAGCAGTGTACAGGTACTGATTTGCTCTCGCTTCAACTTGATAGGAAATACCTTTTCTGTGCCTATATACGTGTATTCTGTTAGATCCTGTGTTTCTTGGCTGGAGCGTTAAATCCAAACTCGGTGTCTGTTAAAGGCTAAAAGAGGTACATGGACATACTGGCCTCTGTATTAGAAGCCA